AATTAATTATCAAGACGGTCAAACGTAAGATCCATATGTCTGAAACCCACTGTCCAAAAATAAGCTCGATCAAACGGTGAAAGACTTAGCAACGATGAAAACACTAGTGCAGGTTTTATGTTATGTGAGAATGACATCTTATTTTCCTTTCTCTCTCACTTGGGTTTTCCCTCTCTTCAAATGACTATAATGTGACCTAATAATCTGACTCATCTCCACTAAGACAAAGTTAGACATAATGGTCCAATTTATTTGGCCTATTCTCCACATAGGAATGGTGCCCAATAACCCAACACTTACAACATATATTTTCATGGAAACCCCCAAGCATCATAACTTTGTTCTTTCATAGCATCAAACCCTTTGTTGAAATAACCCAACAAAACATACATAATAAATTCATAGAGAAAACTCATCACAAATATTACATAAAACATATGCTCATTCATACACAAACTCTTACCCAACAATAACCACAAATAATCAAAATCATATACACATGTATCAAACAAGGATTACCAATCAAGATAATCATGAACACGTATAAAATACAACCACAAACAAAGAAAGGTAAGCTTCCCCATACCTTGGCCAGTCATAAGACTTTATCTACAACCCTATAACACCATCAATCTTCCTTTACATTGAGAGTTTCTCGTCGCTCTCTTTCTTCTTCTCCCAAAATGCTTATCTCCTCTCTTCCTCTATTTTCTCTCTTTGACCTAGAGTTTCTAGGGTTTCTAAACATAAAATCACCCCTTAATTAATTTCTACACTAATTAAATAAAGGTAAAAAAACCCTTTTTCCCTTAAGGAAAAATATAAAAATAAAGAAATAACATTATAATTATGGTCTAACAAAAATGTATACTAAAGAACACTAATTTCTAAACAAAAACCCAAAATATCAAAACTACTTTATTTTTGAAACCCCTATTTTCTGAGATCTTACACTAGAAGTTTCTTAATGACCCATCAAGAAAAATATCCTCCATGTGACATCTGTAAAAAGACAAGTCTCATGGAAAAAGATTGTTTGCATCATGGAAAACCATAATGCTAGTACTGCAAGAAATTTGGTCACATAGAGAAGTATTATCGTAATAAAATAAGCATTAAGAAAAATTTGTGGAAGAACATAATTAGGAGCAACACTTATTCTATGACAATTAAGAATCTTCTTACAGAGAAGGAAGTTGGTACTTGGATAGTGGATGCATCAATCACATAAAGAAAGATCAAAGCATCTTCAAAGACATTAGTTAATGTCAAAGTTCAATTGGGAAACGACACCATAATGGACTTGAGGTAAAGGAACTATCATGGTGGAGATAAAGAAAGGTATAAAATTCACCAATGACTTTTTGTTAGTTCCCAATCTTAAATAGAATCTTTTAAGTATGGGTCCAATGATGGAGAATGGATGTTCTCTTCATTTTGAGAAAAATACATGAAAAATTTATGGTAGTAAAATGCTGGTTTAAACTCTCGGATGGTCCTCGTATTTGTTGAGGAATCTCAAGTGTGTCCTCTTGTTGAAAACGATCTCAATTGGGTTCTAAATTTTCAAAAATTGTAACAACTAAATCTTTTCCGTTAAGTGTTGACAAATGACGTCAAGATATGTTGAGCTATAATTTTTTTTAGAGGACGTGTCATTGTGTATTAAATTCACTAACTGATGTGTTTTATAATGATGATTTCCACATGCACAACAAGCAATAGCGATAGTGCAAGATACAAAAGCAATTGAGGTAGCCACTGAGATTCCTCTAACGGAACAAACAACCTATGAGGTTCCAAACCCAGGATCAACCATCGAACAAAGAATAAAATCACCCGCACAAAGGAGAAGCCCAAATCGAAGACACGAGAAGAAAGAGGCGTTGTGTCAGCGCTGATGACAGTTCCAGCATCTCCAAGTGGCACGAATCGGTTTCACTTTGTGTCACAACCAGGCAAAGGGGCTCGCGTTTCTGGATTTTTTCTTCGCAAAGCTCAAGATGCGACGATGGAGGCAGTGCGCGATTTGAGGTTGTATCCAAGTATAATACAATTCAGTGCTGCAAGTTGTGTCCAAGAAATTGTAGATGAGTTTGACATCCATATGAATTTTGAATTGGCAATTACTGGGATGAAATTAACATATGACCTTTTCCGTTTATCAATTCTATCTCAAATTATTCAGAGGAGAGTGGAAGATGAAGCAACAATTCCTCATATTTCTTCTGTCACATCAAAAGATTTCTCACCTCAATATGCTTCCGGAAATCCTCTTTCAGGATTTCAGAATTTTGGTTAATTAAACTCAATTAGTGATGCAAGTTGTTCAAAAAACACTCTTCCTATTCAAGTTCTAAGTCATCAGAACCAAATTTTGAAAAACTTAAGAGCTTTCCTATCGTTGGAGTGGCCAGATAATCGTGTTATGCTTTTGTCACGGTGTTGGTTTGGCATTGGTTCTCCTTTAGGTTTCAATATCACATGTCGATGAAGGTAAAGGTGTGGCGCGTGTCCGAACATGATCTTTTACATTTAACCGAGTAAAATTATCCTTCCTACTTCAATTTTTGCAGCACCTTCAAGGAAGATTCATATTTAGACTAGGTGGGATCACTTGATAAAATTAGCTCTGTTTCACCTTACTTATTGTCAATTTTAACTGTCCAAAATAAGCTCGCACTTCCCTGAGACTTGTTAACCATTCTAGCCCCAAAACAATGTCAGCCCTCCCAATTGGAACACTGAAAATTCTTATTGTATTTGCAACACTTGTAATTCCAAAATGAATCCTTGACACTTCCCTTGGCAACTCACATTGTGCCCATCTCCTACCTCCATGATAATGTTGGCCATGATGCCTATTTGTCCTCATGGTGGCGCGTCAATGGAGATGAAGACAAGACCAACGGTGGTTGACGACATCACAGATCAACACCGATGGGTTGAAATGGAGGAAGATTGGGCTCCCATGGGTGGGAGGAAGAACGTCAATGAAGGATGGGAGAGGGGTTCGAGAAATGTGGAGGTCCACGTAATAAAATCATTAACATCAGCATTTTTACTATGCAACACGTCAGCATTTGTTGACGCCGTCTGTCAACACTTAACGGAAAGGGCTTAATTGTAACGATTTTTCAAAATTTATGACCCAATTGAGACCATTTTCAATAAAAATAACTCACTTGAGATTCCTAAACAAATATGAGGACCATCAGAGGGTTTAAACCTAAAATGATAGGAATTTGCTAAGTAAAAATGGAGAAGGGAAATAGAAGTTTTCCTATAAGGCTCAAACCTGGAACTAATATTGCCATGAAGGTAAAAGTTAATGACTTATGGCTTTGGCATAAGAGATTTGGCCCTTCAACACACATGCCTTATATATATTAGAAAAACATGATAAGAGATCTTTCATACATGAAGGAGAATAATGAATCAAGTGAAGAATGTCTCCTCGGCAAACAACACCAATTACAATTCTCATTAGACAAAGCATGGAGAGCAACATATTTATTGGAGTTGATTCACACCAATGTTTGTGGACCGATGAGAATGCCTTCACATCACAACATGTATTTCATCATTTTCATTTATGACTTCTCTATAGTGACATAAGTCTATTTCTCAAAGAAAAAGTTAGAAGTCTTTGGAATATTCAAGAAATTTAAGGCTCTTTTCAAGAAGCAAAGTGAAAAATATGTAAAAGTATTTAAAAGTGATTGTAGAAAGAAGTACGCATCTCGCAAGTTTGAAAATTTCTATGAAGATGAAGGTATAGATTGGAAACTTATAGTCACATATACTCCACAACAAAATTATGTATCAAAGAGAAAGAATCAAATAGTCATGGAGATGACAAAATTAATGCTAAAAGAGAAAAGTATACATAACACTTTTTAGGCAATCTACATTGCAGTTTACATTCTAAAAAGATGTCCAACTAAGGCAGTCGAAGACAAGACTCCTATTGAAGTTTAGAGTAGAAGAAAGTCATCCACTAAACACCTACAAGTATTTGGACCTATCTACTACATATATGTTCTTGATCAAAGGAGGCACAAGCGTGAAGACAAGACTATACGAGGAATATTTTTGGAATATAGCATACAGTCAAAAGAATATTGAGTCTACAACAAAACAAAACTCATCATTAGTCGAGATATTAAGGTTGATGAAAATGCTTCTGGAAATTGGGAAAAAGAAAAAGTTGTTAAAAAACAACATTTTAGTTCTAGTGCAATAATCTTAAGAAGAGGCAGAAGATTCAGGTACACTTTCTCCACTTCACAACAACAACAAAAAGATTCTTCACCTGAATCAACTCCAAGACAAGTAAGATCTTTGGTATACGTATATGAAACTTGCAATGGCTTAACTGTTTTGAAAAAGCATCAAAGCAAGAAGTTTGGGTCAAGGCTTTAAAAGAAGAGATTAAAATGATTGAGAGAATAACACTTGGGAGCTCATAAATTGTTCTCATCGAAAAGACATCATTTGAGTGAAATGGATACATAAAATAAAGCTCAATCTTAATGGAACTATACAAAAGTACAAGGCAAGATTGATTACTAAAGGTTATTCACAACAACTGCAAGAATTGACTATAATGAGACATTTGCTCTAGTCGCACAACAGAAAACCAATTGAAAGTTATTTTTACGAAAGTGTTACCAAGACCAAGATTTGAACTATTGGACACAATGTTTGGAGTTGTCAAATTTGCATCAAAGAGGAGTAATAAATTGTAATACAAATTCTAGAAGAATATAAAAAATCTTAAAATAGAAGTATTAAAATGTAATACAAATTCTAAAACATTATAGAAAAGCCTATGATAAAAAGAAAAAAAAATCAAAAATATTCTACATAAGTCACTAATATTTTCTAAATAATGAGTATATACTCATGTACCTTACATTTAATCTAAGACAACATCTAACACAGGACACACAATTATAAAATATTTTACTTCCACGTTCTTCGGTCTCCACAATTTTCTTATCCTATGAAATTTCCTTTCACAACCGTTTTTCTTGCTAGGAGCTCATTGCAACCAAAATAATGGCTGAAACAAAGTTAAGCTTAAAAGACAAAAGATGGTCAACGCATGGGATGACTGCTCTAGTCACAGGAGGAACTCGAGGCCTTGGGTTTTGTTTCCTCTTACATCAACCATATATCTAATTAAATGGAGCATATTTGTGGCTTAATCTGCTTTCACTCACTCCATTAATTCCTTTTTTATTTTTCATTTCAGACATGCGATTGTTGAAGAATTGGCAGAACTTGGGGCAGCTGTTCATATGTGTGCTCGTAGCCAAGAAGACATTGATTCATGCTTGGAGCAGTGGAAAAGCAAGGGACTTAATGTGACAGGTTCAGTATGTGATTTGCTTTATCTTGACCAACGTAAAAGATTGATGGAAACTGTTGGCTCCACCTTCCAGGGAAAACTCAATATTCTTGTAAGATTCTATACTTAATCTGTTCCTCTTGTGAATGAAATGAAAAGTTACTATTACTCTTAATCTGTTCCTCTTATGTTTCAGGTGAACAATGCTGGCACATGCATATCAAAGAAAATACTAGATTACACTGCCGAAGATATGTCAACCGTGATGGGCACCAACTTTGAGTCCTGTTATCATTTGTGTCAACTTGCACACCCTTTTCTAAAGCAATCTGGCTACGGGAGTATAGTGTTTATTTCGTCCGTTTCAGCTGTAAAAGCTGTTCCCGTTCTTTCTGTTTATGCAGCTTCTAAAGGCATGTTTTCATTTTCTTCATTTTCCATAACTGGGATCTGAACCTATGCAATTTGAGAGTGAGACCATCTATCTGAGTATACATAATTCATTTTCCCCAGGAGCCATGAATCAATTCACCAGAAACTTAGCACTGGAATGGGCAAAAGATAATATCCGTGCTAATGCTGTGGCATCTGGACCTGTGATGACTGTTCTTTCGAAGTCTTTCATGGTATGTATGTGTTTTTTGTATTCAAGTTTCTTATTAAGAAGGAATATATAATCAAGGTTGATTAACAATTTGCGAAACATGTTTAACTATTTGACATGGCCTATGTTGAATCAACAATGATTGGTCCAACAGGATTCTTCGGATGAAGGATACAAGGTTGGTACTGAGGCAGCATCTCAAACATTTGTTGGTCGTATGGGTGAGCCTGAGGAGATATCAGCATTGGTAGCTTTTCTTTGCCTTCCGGCTGCATCATACATCACTGGACAGGTTATAGTTGCAGATGGGGGTTACACAGTCTAGTAATTGCTCCATCATTCATGTCTCAAATCGACTCATGGTTGATGTCTGTGTTTATGTATTAAACTGTCTCTTTCCATTTAACAAGGCAGAACAACTGTTAATTACCTTCTCCCATGTGTTATCTTTATTGTTGGTAATAGATGGAACAACACTTCCTCCTTCTAGTATTATCTGTCATGAATATTGTCAGCAAAAGGAGGAGAGATACTAGTAACTTCAACTTGATGATGCCAAAATATTGAGTAATTGTTAGTTACCTTCTCTCGAATGTTATCTTATTTGTTGTGAAATTGATTAATTTGAATCTATACAATTCTTTATTTGATTCTAAGACTCAGTCATTTTTTCCTTTTTATTAAGCTTTTCGAAAATCATTCACAAAAAAAACCTAAACTAGTTCATTTAAAGCATGTACGAGGTTCTCTTTTACAATTGATCATAATTAACCTTGACTAAGAGTATTTCAATGTGGACACTTTTGTGAGTACAAAACATTACTCTAGTTATATTTCCCTTTACATTAAATAAATATATATGAGTATACTATGCATTCTTGGTTCAGTTCACAAAATCACTTTTAGTTATATAGAACAAAAGCTTAAGAGAATACAAGGAAAATTCTGGCAACAGCATGGTAGTTTCCTGGCTCTTGCATTCTGTCTCTACTGACTTTTGTGAAAGCATTATTTGGATGGATCACGCTCTCGATATAGGGAATGATCTGAAGAACCGCTTTGCTCAACGTGATTTTGTCAGGATATCAACTCTACAACTAGAAGCCGCTACATTGTCCCAAGGCGAGCTTTCTGTTACAGAATTTTTCACGAAACTCAGAGTTCTCTGGGATGAGATAGATAGCTTCTGCCCAGATCCCATCTGTACTTGCAAGCCAAAATGTTCTTGTGCAGTTTCTTCAATTCTTTCCTAGCGAAAACATGAAGATCGTGCCATGCAGCTTTTACGAGGTTTAAATTATCACTATACTAATATACAATCTCATGTTCTTCTTCTTGACCCTATTCCTCCCATTTCAAAATTTGTTTCTCTTGTTATTCAACAAGAACGCCAAAAAATGATTGATCATATTACTGCATCTGTTAAAGCTACTTCTTTGTCTAATTTCTCTTCTTCAATGAATGCTTCTACTTCTGTCACTTGCACCTATTGCAATCGGGTCGGCCACCAAGAAAATACCTATTTTAAAAAACATGGTTTCCCTAGTCATGATAACTGGAGTGTCAAAACCACAAATAACAACACTCGTAAGGTCTGCACATATTGCCACAAAACTAGACATACCATAGATGTTTGCTTCAAGAAACACGGTTATCCTCCTGGCCACAAGTTTTTCAACAACAAACTCGGCCAAATTCACAATGCTATTTCATCTTCTTATGTTGATAGTCAACCGAACCCTCTTCTGCCGAACGACTTGGACCAAGAATTCCCTTCTGCCGAGACCGTTCAATTCATGCCTCAACAATATCAAGTTCTTGCTCAGTTGTTCAAACAATCTGAGTCCAACATTTCTAATGTGCACATTAACCAAGTTGGAACAGTTTCTACAAACACTTCTCCAGGTAATATTGTTTCGATTTTTCAAGTGCACTCTGGTAACATCTGGCTACTTGATTCTGGTGCCACTGATCACGTTTGTATTTCTTTAAAATCTTTTACTTCTTATCAAAAGATTACTCCCATTCCAAAAACTTTACCTAATGGCAAAATCATACATGCTCATTACAAGGGTATCGTTCGGTTAAACACTAAAATCAATCTTTCTAATGTGCTATATGTTCTTGATTTTTCATTCAATCTTATCTCTGTTTCAACAAAACTAAACTGTCAATTAATCTTTTCCCCTTTTGGCTGCATTGTGCAGGACACACAAACTCAAGAGAAGATTAGTTTGATTAGACATCACAATGGCTTATATCTCTTTGACTCATCTACTTGTACAAATAACATTAATTGTAGTCCTGTAATTTGTTCTGTTCAGCATCCAAATTTATGGCATGCTCGTCTTGGACACCTATCACATGCTAGGTTACAGTTTTTACAAACCAAACATGCTTACATAAAAAATGATGATACTCAAATTCCTTGTGATGCGTGCCATCAGGCCAAACAAAAGAAACTTCCTTATACTGCTAGCACATTTCATTCACTGAGTTCTTTTGATTTATTTCACATTGACATATGGGGACCCAGTACTGCTTCAATGAATGCTTTTAAATACTTGTTAACCATCATTGATGATTTCTCTCGTTATACTTGGATTGTACCTATGTTAAATAAATCTTCTATCAAAACCCACAAACTCAATTTCGTTTGCTATATAGAAAATCAATTCAATAAAAAGGTTAAAACTATATGCACTGACAATGGTGTTGAATTCATTATGCATGATCTTTTCTCAAGCAAATGTATTAATCATCAAACTACTTGTGTGGAAACCCCTGAACAGAATGGAGTGGTTGAACGTAAACATCAACACATCTTAAATATTACTCATGCATTACTTTTTCACTCACATCTGTCAATTGCTTTCTGGTGTTATGCAGCTCAACATGTTTGTGTTTTTGATAAATCAGATGCCTACACCTGTCCTACAACACCTCACGAACAACTTCATGGATCTCCTTGTGATCTCTCAATGTTACATGTTTTTGGCTGTCTTTGCTATGCCAACACCATTACTGCTCACAGAAATAAGTTTGATGATTGTGCTGTCCCTAGCATTTTCTTAGGTTTTAAACAACACACAAAAGGTTACCTATTTCTAAATCTAAAAAATCACAAGGTTGACATATCCCATAATGTTTTTTTTTTCATGAAAATGTTTTTCCCTATCATCATACTCATAAAACTGACAACTCTTTATCTTTACCCTTGCCAAATCATTACACAAATAATTATGGTGATCTTTTACCATTCAGTTGTCCTCATACTGACATTTTACCGCTCGGTTCTACCAATACTAATACTTTACCGATTCGGTCCTTACACTAATGATATTTTTCATAGCACATCGAAAGATATCACTCAAGTAGATGACACTGGTAGTGATACCTCCGCTAGTATAAGACGATCATCTAGATCTCGTAAGATCCCTGCTTATTTAAAATATTTTCAAACTAACAGCGTTGTTCGGTATCCCATTACAAATTACCTTAGATACAATCGGCTCTCTACTCATTTCAAGCATACTATTTTATCTATTTCGTCCAATGTTGAACCAACATGTTATTCTGCTGCTTCCAAACAACCCCAATGGGTTACTGCCATGCGTGCCGAGCTTGATGCCCTGTAGGCTAACAACACTCGAGAGCTAACTACTTTACCTCCTAACAAAATAGCTATTGGTTGTCGTTGGGTTCACAAAACCAAATACAATTCTGATGGATATGTGGAACGCTACAAAGCTCGTCTGGTCGCCAAAGGATATAACCAGATTGAAGGACTGGATTATTTAGATACCTTCACACCCGTCGCCAAACTCACTACTTTTCGGCTTCTTCTTGCCATAGTTGCATCTCAATGTTGGTCACTCAAACAATTGGATGTTAATAATGCTTTCTTACATGGTGATCTTCATGAAGATGTCTATATGAAAGTTCCTCCTGGTCTTACCACTTCAACCAAAAATCAGGTTTGTAAACTCCAACGCTCTTTATATGGTCTTAAACAGGCTGGCCGACAATGGTATGCTAACCCATTACTCGCATCATCCGGTGTAGGAGCTGACCCATGTTCATATCTAACCTGTGAAAGTCTCATAGAAAATTCTTCCTGTTCAAAAATTAAAAGCAATGTTAGGGAATGATAGAATAACATAAATGAAAAAATACTAATAGTAATAGTGTTATTTGCTTACATGAGTCTTCCGAGATCTTTCATCAACGAATTCATTAGTGCCCTTCTGAACATGAGTCTGTGCAAAGACCTCATCAACATGGACCGCTCATCCCAGAACTTATGCCTATAACATAATTTATAGTTACAAGTGTACATATGAAATAGAAAGTACATAACTTATATATGAAAGAAATAGAAAAGTAATGAAATTTTACCATACCAATGGCATGCTCGTGAATCGTGATCGACCCACCAGTATGCAGGGTACCACCCTTTTCAGAAGCTCTGTTCCTCTAGGCTTTGGCACACTTATTGCGAAACTCTACTGAATTCCAATGAGCTAGTAAAGAGTTCCAAATTTGCTCACCCAACCAATAAGGGCGCTCTCCTGCATTACGGGCATCCCTAAACATCTCTGATAGCCGATGAGATGCTTTCATGTGGAAATTTCTTTGTATTTGTGTTTCATGTTCAAGTTTCCACTGCACCTTCATCTGTAACATTAAACAGAACAAACATTGATTAATGAACATACTAAAATAAGATTGACAATTAGTTTATTGGATTGTTCACTTTAAATTGCTCCCAGAATGGCTTTTTGTCGTCATCAGGTATTGCTCCCCAAGTAGGCCATGGACTTAAAAACTGTTGCGTAATGGAACGTGTGATGGCCTGGGAAGCAACCCTGGATGGAATAAACCTGCGTAATAAAACTCATTTGAATTAATGCAATCCTTAAACATCAAAATGGTTAAACAAGGGATTAAAATCTTACCCTTTACCATACGGCTCAATCCATGGTCGATCATGCAGGGCCGGGTCAAGACCTTCACCATCACCAGTTGAATCTGCATCAACAGATGGTGTGGCAGTCTCAGAAGGCGGTATACAAGATGAGGAAGGAATAAAAGTAGAGTCAGGGGGAGGAGTGGGGGTAATAAGCATAGGGGGAGGAGTGGGGGTTATAATCACATGAGGAGGAAGAGGGTCTGCTGTAGGGGTAGGAGAAGGGTGTGTTGTAGGGGGATAAGGGTGTATTGCAGAGGTAGGAGTAGGGTGTACGCAGGGGTAGGAGGCTGTATTGTAAGGGTAGGAGGAGGCTCCACAGATGATGGACTAGGGGCAGCAGTGGTAGGTAGTTTAGTAGGCACCCTAAGTACATACTTTGGTGCCTGTTGTTGCCTCTTTTTAGGCCTTGCTACCCCCTTTCCTTTATCAGGATGTTCTGAACCTTGTCCTGTCATTACTGCATTGAAATGGTTACAAATAAAGCGAAACAATTGAAATGAATAAGGAAGGATCAATACAAATTAAAGTGAATGTAAAATAATTGCATAAAACTTTTAAGATGGTATTTTAGATAACTCTATTGAAATGATAGTTCAATTTGCTACAATAAATGTCCAACATTCAATCATCGTCATCATGATCTTCATCTTCTTCTTCTTCTTCATCTTCATCTTCATCTTCTTCTTCTTTTTCTTCTTCTTCTTCATCATCATCATCTTCTTCTTCTTCTTTTTCTTGTTCTTCTTCCTCTTGTTCTCCATCACCTTGTATTGCTGCTTCTAATTAATCTCCATCACCATCAGGGTCGACCAATGCGATTATACGTTCAACTTCAATAATTTCTTGTGGTTGTGACATTTGTTCAAGTTGGTAGGCAACATCTTCCTCAACCTCATTTGAGTCAATGCGACCTCTAGGTTTGGTTTGTATTGCTATGACCCAACCACACTTGTCAATATTGCAGAATGGTGGATATGGCACATAATAAACCTGTCTGACATTAGTTGGTAGAATGAAAGGATTAAACGGTCCATATCTTAATCTTTGGTTGAGTTCGACAATATTAAAGCATGGATCCACTCTAGTACCAGCTCTAGAAGGATCAAACCATTCACAATAAAAACGTACTACTTTGTTTCGAGAAGTAGTGTTGTTGTACACTAACTCATATATTTTATGAATGATGCCGTAGAAATCATCATAGGAACCTTTTGTAAGGCCCTTTACGTACACACCCTAATTTGTTGTTTTCTTTCCTTTAGACCACTCAGGTGTATGGAATTTGTAACCATTGGTGAAGTAAGTGTGTCATTCTTTCACACATCTCATTGACCAATTGGATAGATGTCTTAACTCTTGAACTATGGGAGTTAATTCCTGATTAAAAACCTACAAACATACCAACAAAATTTCAAAGCAAGAGTCAAATTAACCTTGCTCAAAACATGGGAAAAAGTACGGACCTGATTTCTGAACCATTGAGGAAACTCTGAGTGTATTCTAGCAGAAGCATTTTCTTCTACGACTTACTCAGCCACAAGAAATGAGATGGTACGAATGAAATGAATTAGTGTATAACAATTTCAGCATTGCAAAGGTAAGATATGGATGATGACATACTCAAGGTACGACTTAACTTCACTACAATTGATTAAGACATGGACATGAGCAGAGTTGAATTTAACATCAGTTAACCAATGAGTAAATTCTTTTCCTGCATGACGGCCTGATTGTCGAAAAACTGACAATTTACCTTGACATGGTTCGGCTTGCCATTGCATTTTATTTCTAACATTAGTAAGGGACAACATGAAGTTTTTGAAATAATGTGAACAAAAATATGTTGTTTCTTTGTGCAAGTAAGCTGCACAATTTGATCTTTCTACTCTATCTTTATTTTTAACTGAACGTTTGGATTCTCCCATAAACCTTTCAAAGGGATACATCCATCTGTATTGCATCGGTCCCCCAAGCCAAGCTTCATAAGCAAGATGAATTGGAAGATGCTCCATTGAATAAAAGAATGCAGGTAGGAATATTCTTTCTAATTTGCATAGAATAATTTGAATATTTTCTTTCATCTTTCTTAGGGAATTTTCCTTTAGTGTCGTGCAGCACAAATCTTTAAAGAAGTTACTGATTTCTATCAATGGATTTAACACGTGCATTGGCAAACAACTGAACGCAAGAGGGATGAAAGTCTCCATAAATACATGAAATCATGACTCTTCAATCCTTGAATAGTAACGTTCTGAACATTGGCACATCTGGACAAGTTAGAAGAATATCTATCTGGCATTTTAAGCTCCTTGATCCATCCACAAACTATTCTTGCCTCGTCTTTTTACATGCTGTAATTTGCTTTTGGTTTGAACAATCGGTCGTTAGCTTGCGCCTTCAACTCTAAGTCTTTTCGCCGACAATACAAATGTAAATCTTTTCTTGCTTTGTCATTATCTTTTGTCTTCCCTTTAACATTCATAATTGTGTTGAAGACATTATCAAAGAAATTTTTTTCTATGTGCATGACATCTAGGTTATGTCTTAGCAAGTTGTCTTTCCAATAAGGAAGATCCCAAAATATGCTTCTTTTAGTCCAATTATGTCACTCCCAAACCCTTCTATCCTATTCTGACCACATTCAGTGACTTTTGACAAGTCTTTCACTCTTCTCCAAACATGTGATCCAGTCAACTTTGGCGGGGGCATATATGTTTCGACTTGCCCTTTGCGAAATGCCTTTTTGTTTCTTTTAAAGGGGTGATCAATGGCCAAGAAACATCGATGGCAATCAAACCAACTACTTTTCCGACCATAACTCAATTGGAAGGACTTTGTATGCTCCATGCAATGTGGACAAGCTAATCGACCATGCGTGCTCCAACCAGATAACATCACATAGGCTGGGAAGTCGTTAATAGTCCACATCAAAGCTACCCTCATAATGAAATTTTGCTTCCTTGAAACATCATACGTCCAAATACCATTCCATAGCTTCTTCAAATCATCAATCAAAGGTTCCACATATACATCAATCGTTGATTTGGGATTAGATGGACCTGGTATTATACACGTTAAAAACATGTAAGGCTTTGTCATACACATCTCAGGTGGTAGATTGTATGGGGTAACTATCACCGGCCAACATGAATATGGTGATGCAGACGCCTGAATGTACGGCGTAAACCCATCAGAGCATAGACCAAGTCTCACATTACGCGGTTCACTAGCAAAGGATGGATGTTTACGATTGAAGTGCTTCCAAGCTTCACCATCAGAATGATGACGCAAAAATCCTTCAGTTTTGTTACCATCATGCCATGTCATGTGTTCTGATGTTTGCATTGAAGTAAACATTCTTTGTAATCTTGGAATTATAGGCAAGTAGAACATGGGCTTTATGGGAATTGGTTTTTTTTGCCTCCATCCAGCATGCATCGTATGATATCGAGGTGCGCCACAAAACTTGCATTCAACCAACAATGCATCATTTTTGCCACTGTCATTGTCATAGAATAACATACATCCATTAACACAACAATCAATCTTCTTGGCTTCCAATCCAAGCTTGAAACACATCTTTTGGCTTGATAATAATTCTTCGGCATAGAATTGTTTGGCGGTGTCAGATCTAACATCAATTTTGTAAAGAAGTCCAATGTTTGATTGGGAACGTTCCAATTAGATTTACCAGCCATTAGTCTAATGCATACTGACAATTTAGACTCAGATGAACCTTCAAATACAGGTTGATTTGCCTTTGTCAATAAATTGTAAAACCTCTGAGTGGTTTCATTTGGAGACTCTTCATCATGACTATCGTTTGCTTCTTGTTCAGCATGTCGACGAAGAACATTGTCGACGATCTCTTGCATATAGGCAAATTGATCTATCTCATATGTATGTATAATATTATTCTAACTTGATGCAAGTCTTTTTTCAGCTTTAGTTGAGGTTGAATGAATTTCTTCACCTTGAAATGTCCAAACCGTGTAATTAGGCATGAACCCTTTTTGGTATAGGTGAACTTTGACGTCTTCATCTTTCAAAATCCTTGTACATTCGCACTTAATGCATGGGCATTGAATCCCTCCATCAAGAGCATAATATTGATATCGTCGAGCCATCTCCACAAACTCTTCAACTCCGATGACAAAAGATTCCTTCAAACCTCTCCTTCCGCTATAACAACGGTTGTACATCCATCCACGGTGGTTGGGAAAATGGGCCATGTTCTGTGACAAGCCAAACAAAGGCAAACTTAGCCAAAACAACAACACTCCATGTGACATAAGTAATAAAGCTATTACTATTCAAGTCGAACATGGATGGCAATTTGAACACTACTATCATAAGCATACAATATGTATATGCAAAGACAAGTCCTTAGTATTGAAATGCCTTAGACATCCTAAGGGGATGTGTATTAAAGTTGGGGGAGACAACTTATTATTACTGAAGTTCTCTTTTACATAGTACTTCCACATATTTTGTAGGTTCTAAGTGTTTATAATATTTTCACCATTCTCATTTGATTGAGAATGTGTGTAGTACCATAGGATTTTAAATGACTACTTAACTTAATCAAGTTGTAGCCTAATAAATGAAAGACAATATACATCACCATACAATATAGACATCAGTATAATTTAGGCAATCAAATATCTATAAAAACATGAATATATAATACATATTAACATAATTTAGGCAATCAAATAGCTATAAAAGTATCTAGNCGCAGGGGTAGGAGGCTGTATTGTAAGGGTAGGAGGAGGCTCCACAGATGATGGACTAGGGGCAGCAGTGGTAGGTAGTTTAGTAGGCACCCTAAGTACATACTTTGGTGCCTGTTGTTGCCTCTTTTTAGGCCTTGCTACCCCCTTTCCTTTATCAGGATGTTCTGAACCTTGTCCTGTCATTACTGCATTGAAATGGTTACAAATAAAGCGAAACAATTGAAATGAATAAGGAAGGATCAATACAAATTAAAGTGAATGTAAAATAATTGCATAAAACTTTTAAGATGGTATTTTAGATAACTCTATTGAAATGATAGTTCAATTTGCTACAATAAATGTCCAACATTCAATCATCGTCATCATGATCTTCATCTTCTTCTTCTTCATCATCGTCATCATCATCATCATCTTCTTCTTCTTCTTCTTCTTCATCATCATCATCTTCTTCTTCTTCTTTTTCTTGTTCTTCTTCCTCTTGTTCTCCATCACCTTGTATTGCTGCTTCTAATTAATCTCCATCACCATCAGGGTCGACCAATGCGATTATACGTTCAACTTCAATAATTTCTTGTGGTTGTGACATTTGTTCAAGTTGGTAGGCAACATCTTCCTCAACCTCATTTGAGTCAATGCGACCTCTAGGTTTGGTTTGTATTGCTATGACCCAACCACACTTGTCAATATTGCAGAATGGTGGATATGGCACATAATAAACCTGTCTGACATTAGTTGGTAGAATGAAAGGATTAAACGGTCCATATCTTAATCTTTGGTTGAGTTCGACAATATTAAAGCATGGATCCACTCTAGTACCAGCTCTAGAAGGATCAAACCATTCACAATAAAAACGTACTACTTTGTTTCGAGAAGTAGTGTTGTTGTACACTAACTCATATATTTTATGAATGATGCCGTAGAAATCATCATAGGAACCTTTTGTAAGGCCCTTTACGTACACACCCTAATTTGTTGTTTTCTTTCCTTTAGACCACTCAGGTGTATGGAATTTGTAACCATTGGTGAAGTAAGTGTGTCATTCTTTCACACATCTCATTGACCAATTGGATAGATGTCTTAACTCTTGAACTATGGGAGTTAATTCCTGATTAAAAACCTACAAACATACCAACAAAATTTCAAAGCAAGAGTCAAATTAACCTTGCTCAAAACATGGGAAAAAGTACGGACCTGATTTCTGAACCATTGAGGAAACTCTGAGTGTATTCTAGCAGAAGCATTTTCTTCTACGACTTACTCAGCCACAAGAAATGAGATGGTACGAATGAAATGAATTAGTGTATAACAATTTCAGCATTGCAAAGGTAAGATATGGATGATGACATACTCAAGGTACGACTTAACTTCACTACAATTGATTAAGACATGGACATGAGCAGAGTTGAATTTAACATCAGTTAACCAATGAGTAAATTCTTTTCCTGCATGACGGCCTGATTGTCGAAAAACTGACAATTTACCTTGACATGGTTCGGCTTGCCATTGCATTTTATTTCTAACATTAGTAAGGGACAACATGAAGTTTTTGAAATAATGTGAACAAAAATACGTTGTCTCTCTGTGCAAGTAAGCTGCACAAATTGATCATTCTACTCTAACTTTATTTTTAACTGAACGTTTGGATTCTCCCATAAACCTTTCAAAGGGATACATCCATCTGTATTGCATCGGTCCCCCAAGCCAAGCTTCATAAGCAAGATGAATTGGAAGATGCTCCATTGAATAAAAGAATGCAGGTAGGAATATTCTTTCTAATTTGCATAGAATAATTTGAATATTTTCTTTCATCTTTCTTAGGGAATTTTCCTTTAGTGTCGTGCAGCACAAATCTTTAAAGAAGTTACTGATTTCTATCAATGGATTTAACACGTGCATTGGCAAACAACTGAACGCAAGAGGGATGAAAGTCTCCATAAATACATGAAATCATGACTCTTCAATCCTTGAATAGTAACGTTCTGAACATTGGCACATCTGGACAAGTTAGAAGAATATCTATCTGGCATTTTAAGCTCCTTGATCCATCCACAAACTATTCTTGCCTCGTCTTTTTACATGCTGTAATTTGCTTTTGGTTTGAACAATCGGTCGTTAGCTTGCGCCTTCAACTCTAAGTCTTTTCGCCGACAATACAAATGTAAATCTTTTCTTGCTTTGTCATTATCTTTTGTCTTCCCTTTAACATTCATAATTGTGTTGAAGACATTATCAAAGAAATTTTTTTCTATGTGCATGACATCTAGGTTATGTCTTAGCAAGTTGTCTTTCCAATAAGGAAGATCCCAAAATATGCTTCTTTTAGTCCAATTATGTCACTCCCAAACCCTTCTATCCTATTCTGACCACATTCAGTGACTTTTGACAAGTCTTTCACTCTTCTCCAAACATGTGATCCAGTCAACTTTGGCGGGGGCATATATGTTTCGACTTGCCCTTTGCGAAATGCCTTTTTGTTTCTTTTAAAGGGGTGATCAATGGCCAAGAAACATCGATGGCAATCAAACCAACTACTTTTCCGACCATAACTCAATTGGAAGGACTTTGTATGCTCCATGCAATGTGGACAAGCTAATCGACCATGCGTGCTCCAACCAGATAACATCACATAGGCTGGGAAGTCGTTAATAGTCCACATCAAAGCTACCCTCATAATGAAATTTTGCTTCCTTGAAACATCATACGTCCAAATACCATTCCATAGCTTCTTCAAATCATCAATCAAAGGTTCCACATATACATCAATCGTTGATTTGGGATTAGATGGACCTGGTATTATACACGTTAAAAACATGTAAGGCTTTGTCATACACATCTCAGGTGGTAGATTGTATGGGGTAACTATCACCGGCCAACATGAATATGGTGATGCAGACGCCTGAATGTACGGCGTAAACCCATCAGAGCATAGACCAAGTCTCACATTACGCGGTTCACTAGCAAAGGATGGATGTTTACGATTGAAGTGCTTCCAAGCTTCACCATCAGAATGATGACGCAAAAATCCTTCAGTTTTGTTACCATCATGCCATGTCATGTGTTCTGATGTTTGCATTGAAGTAAACATTCTTTGTAATCTTGGAATTATAGGCAAGTAGAACATGGGCTTTATGGGAATTGGTTTTTTTTGCCTCCATCCAGCATGCATCGTATGATATCGAGGTGCGCCACAAAACTTGCATTCAACCAACAATGCATCATTTTTGCCACTGTCATTGTCATAGAATAACATACATCCATTAACACAACAATCAATCTTCTTGGCTTCCAATCCAAGCTTGAAACACATCTTTTGGCTTGATAATAATTCTTCGGCATAGAATTGTTTGGCGGTGTCAGATCTAACATCAATTTTGTAAAGAAGTCCAATGTTTGATTGGGAACGTTCCAATTAGATTTACCAGCCATTAGTCTAATGCATACTGACAATTTAGACTCAGATGAACCTTCAAATACAGGTTGATTTGCCTTTGTCAATAAATTGTAAAACCTCTGAGTGGTTTCATTTGGAGACTCTTCATCATGACTATCGTTTGCTTCTTGTTCAGCATGTCGACGAAGAACATTGTCGACGATCTCTTGCATATAGGCAAATTGATCTATCTCAGATGTATGTATAATATTATTCGAACCTGATGCAAGCCGTTTTTCAGCTACAGTGGAGGTGGAAGGAATTTCTTCACCGTGAAATGTCCAAACCGTGTAATTAGGCATGAACCCTTTTTGGTATAGGTGAACTTTGACGTCTTCATCTTTCAAAATCCTTGTACATTCGCACTTAATGCATGGGCATTGAATCCCTCCATCAAGAGCATAATATTGATATCGTCGAGCCATCTCCACAAACTCTTCAACTCCGATGACAAAAGATTCCTTCAAACCTCTCCTTCCGCTATAACAACGGTTGTACATCCATCCACGGTGGTTGGGAAAATGGGCCATGTTCTGTGACAAGCCAAACAAAGGCAAACTTAGCCAAAACAACAACACTCCATGTGACATAAGTAATAAAGCTATTACTATTCAAGTCGAACATGGATGGCAATTTGAACACTACTATCATAAGCATACAATATGTATATGCAAAGACAAGTCCTTAGTATTGAAATGCCTTAGACATCCTAAGGGGATGTGTATTAAAGTTGGGGGAGACAACTTATTATTACTGAAGTTCTCTTTTACATAGTACTTCCACATATTTTGTAGGTTCTAAGTGTTTATAATATTTTCACCATTCTCATTTGATTGAGAATGTGTGTAGTACCATAGGATTTTAAATGACTACTTAACTTAATCAAGTTGTAGCCTAATAAATGAAAGACAATATACATCACCATACAATATAGACATCAGTATAATTTAGGCAATCAAATATCTATAAAAACATGAATATATAATACATATTAACATAATTTAGGCAATCAAATAGCTATAAAAGTATCTAGTGACAAACCAAATTTAGTGAAGAACCAGCTACACAATCACAATCAACAGACCAATCCCTGGTGGGCTGCAGGTTTGATAACAAATTTCTACAAGAAAATAAAATTGCAAGATGTTCAGCCATTTACCAAATGCCAAACAGATTCAGAAATGGAAAAATTGAACTAATGCAATCAGTAGAAAATTGGTGGTTTGAGATTCAAAATCACACAACAGCAGTTATAGATCAAAACAAAACACTTCAGGAACTTTGTTTGATGAAAACAAACGTGTTAAAACTCAAATTTAAGCCAACCAAACTGCTACTAAAAATAACCTGTCTACTTCCCAAAATTGACTCAAAATTGGTGGTTTTGGAAGTGATTTTGTGCCTAAGCCATTATGACACTTTGGTAATTATTTCAATAGTTTTAATGAATCAAAATACACTTTTTTGAACTCTAATTAGGCACAAAATCAAACTGCAACTCAGATTCACTTTGCAAGTTCCGAATATGACTCAAATATGATGGTTTGACATACTAAATTGCATACAGATCATTCTAACTTCATATAAATGGTTCTAACAACTTTAATACAGTTATTTGGACTTGTTTAAAAATCTAAACATGACAGAATCACAGCAGAACGAAAAATGACATTTAATGACTCAATTATGCCAAATTTTTATGAACCAAACATTAGGTATTTGAGGTTTATGGAATTCTTTGCTTTTGAATAGTTTCCTAGGTCCATTTCACTACTCTACACATGTTAGGATGTTCACATTAGTTAAAATAAGTGTACATTAGGTCTGGGTGCAAATTCTCACCCTTATAAGCACACTTTTTAGGTTCCAACTACTCAAATTTTGAGTTGTACCTAATTCTTTGCTTTTGAATAGTTTCCTAGGTCCATTTCACTACTCTAGACTTGTTAGGATGTTCACATTAGTTAAAATAAGTGTACATTAGCTCTGGTTGCAAATTCTCACCTTTTAAGCACACTTTTTAGGTTCCAAGTACTCAAATTTTGAGTTCTGCCTAATTATTTGCTTTTAAATAGTTTCCTAGGTCCATTTCACTACTCTAGACATGTTAGGATGTTAGTACTTTAATAGACTTTGCATTCTTTGCACTTTTTGTGTATTCTAGGTACTACTTTTAGGTTCTAAGTTGTCATATTATGAGTTTTAGGTATTTTTTGTAGTGTGAGTTCTTAATTAGCTAGGTTTTACCATTCTAAACTTGTTAGGATAGTTTCTTTCTTGTTTATTTTCCTAGTTTAGTGCAATTTGAAATTGTAGTACACCTTTTTTTAGGTTTGAGTAGTGATTTTTAGCTACTTCATCTACTTTTTTAGGTTACAACTAGGCAAACTTTGAGATTTAGCTACTTCATCTATTTTGACATGTTTCTTAGCTTCCTTTAACAACTTCAAACTTGTTAGATGTGTAGAATACACACTCTTAGGTTACTTTAGAACAATTCCCATTCTCACCTATTTAGTACACTTTTTAGGTTTAAGTAGCCAAATTTTGAGAATTAGGTTGTTTTTGTAGTGTGAGTTTCTAATTAGCTATGTTTTACCATTCTAGACTTGTTAGGACAGCTTCTTATAAGTTTCTTAGGCTAGTTTAGTGCAGTTTGCAAATTGTAACCAGTCTAGTGCATATTTAGTAGTCATTTTGAAGAAGAAAAAGTTGTATTGGGTGTCAATTTTCGTGCACAAGTGATTTTGTGCTATTTGGCAGTTTAAACAAGTCCTAATTGTTGTTTTAAACTTGTTAGAACATTCAAATTGAAGCCAGATTCATCTATGTGCAAAATAGCTTATTCAAACCTCATTTTTTAGTGAAATTGGGAACTAAAAGGGTGAATCTGCTATACAGTTTGGTTTTGAACCCAATTAGAGTTCAAACAAGTTTAAATTGATGAATTGAAGTTGCTAAAAGTATTATCAAAGACTCATAATCACTTATGCATGAATTCACTTTTAAAACCACCAATCTTGGGTCAATTTTTTGGTGAAGAGTTGAAAAATTTAAGTGTTGTTTTGATGAAGTTGGTATAAAATTCCATTTTGCTTGGAGCAAAACATGTTTCAGTTTTTCTTGCTTTCTTCATCTATTGTAGACCTTTCTTAGAATCCATTTGAGTGCCTACTTCTATTCTACACCTATTTGTATTGGTTTTAAGCTTGTTGGCATGTTAAAATTGACCAATTCAAGTCAGATTTTGGTGTTGTCCAGTTACCATTTCTGGTGCAGTTTTTTATCTGCTTTGGTGCTAATTTATGTGTGAAATTGTGGTGTTCTGAAGACTTTGAGATGCAGTCCAGTTTTAGAAACCTTTTCCAACTAAGGTGGCATCTTAGGAAGTGAAGAAGGAGCAGAATTTGTCAATTCAAAGGGGCTGTCCAGCAAGGAAAATTGTGAAAATTGGCAACTCCTATAGCCAAATTTTGAGTTCTAGGTTGTTTTTGTAGTTAGGTTTGTTCATTAGATTTTGTTCCATTAATTTAATAATCCAGAATTGAATTTGGGAAAACAAAATAATCAAACAGTAGCTGGAAAGGGATTCAAAGGTCTTTCTTCACATGGTTGGGGTGAAGGACAAATCCAAGATAGTGCTAGTTGAAGACCCTATTAGTCAATAGAAGAGGTTGTTAGAGAGAAGGAAGAATGCTAAGATGGAGAAAGCTGCAAAATCAATCTAAGAAATCAGCTTGGAAGTAGATAGACTTGGAGGAAGGGTATGTGTTGGTGTTGCTAATGATCAGTGATTGGATTTGGTTAGGTATCAGCATTTGAGTGAATTATCAACAAAGGTAGAAGTTTTGCAGAAACAGATGTGCTTAATCTGATTGAGTTATTGATGAATCAATTGCTTAAACTAGATGGTATAATGGTTGAAGGGGATGTGAAATTAAAGAGGAAAATTCAGGTAATGCCAGATACTGAGATGCATTTTACTGATTTTTGTTTATCAGTGTATCTCAAATTACATTTGTTTAAGCACTTCTAGTTCTAATGTTAGTGAAACATTCATTTTGAAGGTAAAAAGAGTTCAAAAGTATGTTGAAACTCTAGATTTGCTGAAGATTAAGAATTCCTTGCTTGGTAGCAATGGGCATCATGCACCAGTGCAACATCAACAGAAGAATTCAAATGGCCAAAAACTGGGACCAGATTTAGAGCAACAAGAAAAGCACTCAAATGGACATAACAGATTACCCTTAGCACCAATTCAGGAACAACAACTACAAAAACAACCAAGGAACTCAAATGAAAATTTCCTAGAACTTTACCATGAAGAACAACATCAACCCTCAAGGAATTCCACCTTAGGAGTTGTAGTTACCACAAATTGGGAATTGTTTGATTTTGACCCACCATTAATCCCTGTTCAATCCACATCCTCTCCCCCACCACCCCCAATGTCCAATATTTTAGGTCTTCCCAAGTTCAATTGGGAACTCTTTAACTAACTACCATACCATGTGCTCTCACTTGTGTGGATGTGATTTGGGTTTGTCTTTCACTTTGAGTGTCATCTGTTTTACATTTTTTTTTGTTTTTAGATTTGTTTGCAACCCTTTATGATCTATCACTTATACTTCAAAAATAAAGGGGTTGCTATCATAGTGATCATCATAGAAAAAGTTACATTTTTGTGATTTTGGTGTCCACTGAATTCACTTACCAAATAGATGACCCTATTTTTGATGGATAGCTACAATATTATTATAAGCACTTGTAAACTATGTTATTGGAAGCAAGCATTATGATTTAACCTTAAGGGCAGGTATGTTTGAGTGTCTAAAATCCCATTTAAACAATGGTTTTGCTTTGTTTTCATTACCATTTATTGCATAGGTTTGGTTGTATTTCTTGGTGAAGCATCATTCAACCATTGGTTGATGACACTTTAACAGTTTCTCAGTATCTTAGGTTCTTGTGGGTGCTACAAGTGACAAAAAGACTCATAGAAAAGGGTTTTACTAGTTCAGCCAATGATAGTAAGCCAAGTGCAAAAAGTGTTTTGGAAGCAGAGAAGATGAAATCATAACTATGGATTAGATATCAGCAATGACCCGGGAATGCTGTGACAGATGAAATCTGATAAGTTTTTTTTTTCACTTTCAGACCTACGTCTACAAGAGTCACTAAAGTTTCTAAGAACATCATATGAGCAATATATACACCAATGCCTAAGGTAGTCACAACACAAACCACAATGCAGTTACACCAATGCCTAATTCATTACTTTTGTTAATCTTTGTTTCAGTGAATTTCAAGTTCAGAGCACACCTCTTTCATTTGGAATGGAAGTGAATTAGGGGTTTTCATTATACATTTGCACACAGTTCATTCACACAGTTCATTCACAAGTTCAGAGCACACCTCTTACCTCATCACAAACCCCCTACATTGGCCTCGCCCTGCGACAGTGGAAGCCCTGGTCATGCCGCCACAACACCGTTGTCACGCCACCACAGCACCGTCGCCACACCGCCAT